GCTTTTTACCCTCTCGTCCAAGTCACTGATGAAGACGTTGAACAGTGTGGGCTGTTGAAGATGCTAGAGAGATGGTTACCTAAGTATTTGAGATTTTTTTGATAACTTCCTAATAGCTCATTATCATAGAAACTTTTAAAATGTAGAGTAGGTGGATACATACACAGGAGAAAAAGGGAGAGCATTTGCAGTCATTTGATATCAGGAGTTAGAGAATATTGGAGAATAATAGCAGGCTCAGGCAAAGACCTGAGCTGCATCTGAGCAGGAATTAGAGCTTAAATGTGGAGGAAGGCTGGCTTGCCTTGTAATCAGAATGCAAGGCTGTTTTGAACATCAAGATTCCTATTTAAATTAAGAAATGCAGTAGATACTCAGTGAAACTCAGTATTCACTTAGTAGATGAAAGCCTTCTACTTTCTCAGGGGGCTTGAGACAAAGCTGTTGAATTATTACTCCGTTTGGCACTGTCCATTATCAAGTAGGGAGTGCTGGAGATGCCTGGCACTAGAAACTAGTCTGTCATGTGGAAGGTCTGGGCCGTGTATACCTAACAGAACACCTTCTTCCTGAAATCTCACGTTGATCCCTAAGGTCAGCTGAGACCATATTTACAGGAGGTTGCTGTGCCAAACTTGCTTGGCAAAAACACATGAAGGTCATTCAGTAACAGTCCCACTGGAGCTCCCTCTCCTTGTGGTTTACTGGAGCCTGAGTCTAGACATCTTCAGAAAGTGCTATAAGACCTTTTTATTTGGGTAGGCATTTTTGCAAGGAAGGTTAGGTTGGGGTTTTGTTTGAGGTGCTTTTGCTTTGTATCTATGTATCATGTAACCCTTCTGGCAGGCACTGCACTGCAGTAAAAAGGCAAAGTTCAACCTTCTTCAGGGGTTTTACACCATTTCTTAAATTTAGCTTGAGCCCCGACCCAGAAACCTAGGAAAGTAAATTTTAACTGGATGTTCTAATGTGAACTAACTTCCCTGCTCGCAAGTGTTCAACTAAAACAGGACTTGTAACAAGGGGAAAAGGGAACAAATGAACACTTTAAGATCAAACATAACTCTTAAACCTTAGGTATAGCTCAGAACAGATCACAAATCACAGTTAGCTCAAACCAGATCTCAATTTCAGTCACTGGCAAACCAACCTGGGGAGCTACAACATAGCCCAGATATTTGGGGAGGGAGTCTCAGCCAGGGCTGTCATCTGGGGGCTCTGCCAGCTACGCCTGTCAAAGTAGCAAGACGCCCTATTGCACTGTGCTGCCAGGGCAGCTGCTCCGCTCTGGGGCCTTTACCCCCTACAGCAACCAAAACAGCAAGTGCTGGGTAGGGAGGCCCGCACCAGAGTTGCTACCACTCTTGCTGGGGAGCACTGCACTGGCCACCATGTCTAGGGGTCTCTGTTGCTCCTCTGCACCACTGGGGATCTCTGTCATTCTCCCTCACCCTGAAGGGTCTCTGCCATTCCTCCTTCAGTTGTCTTAAGGTTACTATGCAACCCCAGCTCTTTTAGACCCTGCCTTATATCAGTTCAGGGTTCTATTCTTGTTTTTAGCTCTTTCTTTTTCTTTTTTTTAAGCCTGAATCTTAGGCTTTTACCTAAACCCACTCCAGAATCCTGTGCTCAGCAGCATTTACATTTTGAGAAGTTGATCAAAGACATCTAGGGAATGACTCCTAGCTGGAACTTGTTTGCTCTCCTATACCAACTTTGCCCTAAAACTGAGGGCCACTGCTACAGACCTCTGCACAGGTTATAGCAAGGGCTGACCTTTTAGTGACTTATATATAACTTGGCATTGACAACATTTGTGTGCCTACAGACTTCACAGATTTGGAAGAGAGGGCTGGTGGACACAAATTTGATCCACCTTCCCTTTACAGCTGCTCGCTTTAACCTCAGACAGTATAACCCAGACCTACAAATAGTGAAAACAGGCATGAATAGTAGGCCTGTGTGAAGTGGCTAGTATTCGCTTCGGGTTTGGCTGATTTGGGGGACAGTGATTTGATTCAGTGATTTGAATCACTGTCCCAAATCAATTTGGCTGAATCTGATTTGGAGGTTCGGCCGCTGCTGATTTGGCCGAATCTCCGAATCAGACAGACCCCATCCCCTGGCTGCTTTCCCAGCCCCGTCAATGGCTGCCCCACCTGGCACCAGCCTCCTGGCTCTTAAGGGGAAAAAAAAAAAAAAAA